TTCCCAAAATTATTAATATACATATCTATTTTTTATTTACTTTTTCAATCATTACTTATCCATTTCGAATTTTCGCTTCATAAAAAATTGTTCTCCAGTCAGTACAAAAAAAAAAACTAACATCTTCACAGTACAAACACAATACTTTTTCTTATACACACTGACATACATACACAAACAAAACTTTCATATAAACATTCTCCTACACACTTAACACATAAATGTGTGGTTTCCATGTGTGTGAATTTAAGGCTTAATGTCGGAGTCCGCTATATTTCCCATCGGTGATAGAGGTCGATTTTGTTTCGTGTGTGGATTTTTAAAGCAGCCATTTCCTCTTTGTAAAATCAACACAACATAATTGAATTAATTCTCCTTTTCTCAATTTACCTATTTATTTAGAATCAATAAGTTAAACTTCAAGGATAAAAAAAAATATTATAACGACACATAGGCACACACACACACGCACGCACGCACGTCCCAGATACGTAGTGTTCATCAGAGATGCATATAACAACATAACAATTTTTCGTTATTTTTTTAGCGTATACTCGTATATGAGTAATTTTTTTTCTATTTATTAAACAGTATATTTATTTATTTTCGAATACCGGTTTGAAAATTAAAAATAAACGGAGCATCTACCCAAATACAAGTATCCATTAAAAACGTTTTAAAGCTATAAAATATGCTGTATCAATACATAAAATTTTTTAAAATCCATTACTTATTACTAGAAAATTACATATAAGAGTGAAAAAATATAGTTTACACCCACACACACTGTACACATAATTAGAAAGACACATACCCAAGAATTTTTACGCACACATGCACATAATCATCCATTCTTCTCAAAGTACATAAAGGAGACGCCACGCCTCTCTAAAACTGTTTATTTCCTCATGAAAATGTCCATTTCTTTATTTAATTGGCCTGTGATTGCGTTTTTATTATGGGTGGAAATTCGACAAAAATCCAAGTGTTTAGATAATGATTCGCAACCTTTACTCACACCTTTTTCATTGATAAAAGTAGGAGTAGTGGGAGGAAAGATTCCCGTTAAAGAAACGCCCATCTTTAGAGGCGACTAGACTAAGCTAATGGAAACCCGTTTTAGCCAATCAACAAACGAAAATCATTTTGATTCATTAAAAGCCTGAAATATTCTGAAAAAGAGGACCAATCAAAGAATATCATTTATATTTAATAATAGCATTTATTGGATTTCTTCTCTATCTATCTATCTATCTATCTATCTATCTATCTATCTATCTATCTATCTATCTATCTATCTATCTGTGATTAATATTCACCATTGAAGTTCATTGAAAACAAAAATTATATTGAAAAATAAATATTTATTATTCTATAAAATGAAAGTTTTTGTTATCTTTAGTGTGCGGACTAATGCAAATAAATTTAATACATTTTAGCAACTAAGATGTACAAGTACTAGAGTGCTTTTTTTCCGAAATGAAAGCAAAAAAATCGCTACCCATTGTTTTAGAATATTTGCCAAAGAACTTTTCGGTACTTATTCATTAATTAATTTTTTTTTTTTTTTTACTGAATAGCTTATTTTATTTTATTTTGAAAAACTGAAAAATATTTTGAGGGTATGTCCCCCCCCCCGCCACACACTTTTTAATGTATCGCCTGTAATTTTTAATTTAAGGAGTGTTCGTGCAATTTTTTTTACAGTTATATACTGAAGATATTTCAGTAAAACATTTACGTAATATCAAGTGTGAACATACGGAAAATTCATCACGAATGTTACCAAAAATAATTCAATAAAACTAAAAAAATATCTTTTTTTTTTTAGAATTGGTGCATGCATAATTTAATAAAACATTATTTTCTTTCAGACTAAACAGAAAAAATAATATTTTTTTTTAAATTACTTAATTTTTTTTCAGTGCAATTTTGAAATTTACCCCGTTACTGTTTGTCATAAATTTCTTTTATTAAATAAAAACATGTTTGAAAATTTAAAAAATGAAAAATTTAATGCCATTTTCGAGTGTGAACCTTTTTTTTTTTTTAAGAATTTCATTTTACTTTTGCCTTTTAGCAATAGTTATATTATTTTTGGTATGGAAGTACAAAAAGGAAATAATTCTGATATCTCGCTTTGACTGACTACTATTCAATATCGGAAGAGTATTATTATGATAATAATCTAATAATTCCATATCTTAGTTCAGTCAGTTTTTGTGTTTTTTCGAGTATTTTTTCTGCATATATGTTTTGCTGCATTTATTTATAGATTCTTATATACAAGAATAACCAAAACAGAATATATATATATATATATATATATATATATATATATATATATATATATATATATATATATATATATATATATTTCTTCAAAATATCTGCACAATTTTGTAGTTTGTCCATGTGAAATTTGATAGCAAGTGGCTTTCATTGAAACAGAAATCTGGTGTAGAGAAGTATTGAAAATTGAAGTTCCACGAGTGCATAGGATTTTAGAGACACTAATTTTATCCAGGATATTTTTTCTAAAGATTATATGTACTTATTAGCTGCAGCCACGGAAAACGCTTTTTAAATAATTTCAATGTCTTCTTTGAACTTAAATTTTGTTACTGTATGAAAGACAATGGCTTAAATTTAATCCGCATGAAATGAAAAAATAACTTCCGTATATAAATAAACTATTTAGGCATTTTTAAAACATGGGCGCATTTTTTTTTCATCCCGTATTGACTCATTGAGCCGACATTGTATACGAAAAATGCGAGCCATAAATTTTTAAAAAAAATTCTTTAAAATCCAATATTTGTCTTAGAGATGTGTTTCGAAGTTTATTAGTAAATTTAAGGGTTAATTAACTGGATTTTTTAAAAGTAACTTTTACCTTTTGCTCAAAAAAGAATTAAAATAAGCGCGACAGCCTGCGAGGTCAAAAGATAAAATAAAAATTCTGTAATTCCACCCCTGTCCTAAAAAGTGCGCCAAAATGGAATATGAAACCTAACGATATACGGAAGACCAGCCGTACAATAATCAAAAATTTGTTAGCTGTTTAAAAATAAATTTTCTATAACTTTATATAAGCAATAGTTTAAGAATATAATTTTTTATTCTATACGCTTTTATTAAACTTACTATAATGAATAAATTTGAAGGTATAACGGCGCAATCAAAATAAAAATATATAATTTGTGTTAGAATGTGAAAAGAAAATCATTTATTCTGAAATTAAATTTTACAAAAATTATAGTAGAAAATATTCTTTTATGCGAATGAAATAGTTTCGTCCTAATTATGAACATTTTCTTGGTGACGAGGGAAACAAATAAAACACAAAAAAGTTATTAAACGGAAGTTTTTTTTTCTACGAAATTTCTCGAACATTCGGGTCGGAAAATGTATTTAATACTGTTTAATTAAAAATAAAATAAAATAAAACAGAGCATTTACTTAAATAATTTGTATCTATAAAAATAACGTGTACTGAGAAAATATATTAAATAATTGGACTTAATCCATTTCATTATTCTGTTTATTGTTTTAAGAATATGTAAATAAATGCAGCAAACATATATGAGTAACGTTTATAAATCAGTTACGTGTACAGTTACAATGCAAATTTTACATGAAGAATTATACTACAATTTAGTAATGTCTGTACATGAGTGTACTCACTGTACTGTCTACAAATGTTTCTATGCTCTTTGATTTCATGTCAGTACCTCAGCCTAAAACATTAGCCTGTAGTAGTGTATAATGTTAAACATTTTACTGTGACTGTTCGATAAGTAAGTGTGAAATGTTTTGATTGAAGGAAATGTTTGTAAAAGTCTCCTTTATGAGCGAAATCGCAAAAAAGTGTGTGTGTGTGTGTGTGTGTGTGTGTGTGTGTGTGTGTGTGTGTGTGTGTGTGTGTGTGTGTGGGGGGGGGGGTGGGGGGTGGGGTTAAAGTATCATCTCAGTATAATCCACTTCCATTCGGATCAATATTACTAACGGTCACGAAAAGAATAAAAAAAAAAAAAACACCGGAAGTGGGCGGTACGAAATAAGTTAACAGCGAACGCTGAGTGGATCCTTCTTCGTTTAAGAGACGACCTAGCTCGTTGATTGACAGTTTATTTCAAGAGCTATTCCTAAGAGGTAGCCTGTCACTTTATAACCGTGGACAATTCTTTTCGTTATCATAAACTCGAAAACAGCGAAGAACTGTGTAGATTCTGCTTCCGACAACATTCTACTTCTCTGATTAAAAAAAAAAAAAAGAGAAAGATTTTTTTAATGCTTCAGATGAGAAAATAACACCAGAGGTCAAGAATTCTTCTTTTTTTTTTATATGAATAGTCGACATCAACGAATACAATTTCACGATGCCTTTCTTTGGATGGAATATTACAATCACATTTTATGAACTTTGGACTTTAACAAACTATAAAAATGATCTTCCGATTTTAACAGAGTAAAAGAGAGCTTCCGAAAAAAAACTGGGATATTAAGAAAAAAAACACACACACACACACACACACACACACACACACACACACACACACACACACACACACAACAACAAAAAACAAACGGAGGATAAAAAACACTTTTTCTGAGAAGTTACTAATTTTTCAATAAAAATCTATTTTCTCTCTCGCTGAATATCTAGACACATCACAATTTCCTCACGATTTAAATATGTGATTTAATTTTCAGTAATTTTCAGCTCGCACTTTTCGTTTTTTTTAATTCTTGTCTTTTATTATTAAAATTATCTATTTAAACATGCTTGTGTTATTTTAAAAGAAAAATAGAAACTTAAGCCAAATTCGATTTACGCTTTTATAAAAATAAAAAAAAACAAAACAAAGAAAAATATGAAAATCTTCTTTAGACTTTACTCACAATCTTAAATCTTGGCATAGGCACATTTACCAAATATTATCACGTTATAACAGACATCAAATAATTTCTGAATCTGTCCCAGAAGTAGAAACAGAATGAAATCCTTCTCTGTTGAAAGTCTGCTCGCTCCAAGCAGCAACCCTCAACCAACCGGCAGGTTTGCCATTGCAAGCGAATATTCGGGTTTATCTTCCGATAGCCAGTTGCTTCAACGACATGATGTTATTGGATCTGGTGCAGCCACCTTTACTCACTATTCGACTAACCAACGACACCAATTTCACCGACAATACCCACATCGCCTACAGCAACATTTTCAACCGACCTACCTTCATTGTTTTCCTCATCACAGCCACTTAGCACAGCATCAGTACTACATCTACGACGTGCACCGACAACAAACGATTTTGGCTATGGCATCGGGGCAAAATCGCCAATCCCATACGACCGGATTGGACTGCAGAGGAAAGCAAGAAAGAGATCGGCTATCTTCACCCTCAGGAGAAATGTCTGAAGAAATCGACATTCTTTCTCACTCAGACATAGAAACCGAAGCCTCAGTGACTGACCAGATGAACCCTGGGAATATACATAAGTTCGATGCCAAAAATGGCTACAATAATGACAGTGATAAGAAGGAAATGGTAAATCCGGTAGATTTGGAAGAGAAAAATGATTCATGTGGACAAAAAGAAACACATAGAAAAGATAAAGATAATGAAAATAGCAATATTAATATTGTTTCTTCAGCTGATGATGATGATGGTGGTGGTGGTGGTGATGATGATGATGATGATGATGATGATGATGATGATGATGATGACGAGAATGAAGAGACAGACCAAAATGAAACAAAAGCATATATTGAAAATAATGATTCCAAGTGTGACGATTTCAATGATGACAATAGACAAGATGGAATGGCCAAGCGGCGTTCACCAAAAGGAGTCTGTCCATACTTGGTCCAACCGAACTGGCTAAGCGGTGAACGTTTCAAATTCCAGAACCCCCCAAACAGGGTGCTGTCAACACAAAACCAGACCCAATACCATCACCATTACTATCATCATCACCAACAACACGGTAGTTGCAATAATAATTGTGACAGCGACAAGAACACTGATCATTTCATTAGAGCCAGCAATGGCTGCTTGGGTACAAACAGAATTAATATTGAGGGGGACGCTGTGACAAACAAGAATCAGGCAGGTGGAATGAAAATATACCAGTTTCCAACCTCGGGTATCATAAAACAAGAATGCGGTGACCAGCCAAACGAATTGGAAGATGCTGCAAAATCTAAGTCGATGATTATGTCTTCAGAAAGAGAAAGAGAATTTGAAGAAGTTGGGAAAAAAGGTAATGAAATTTTTTTCTTGTTTCTGTTTCTTGTTTTTCGCATCTGTTCGATTTCTTTTGGAACGAAGGCAATCTAGTTTTATTCGTTTTCTTAGTTATTTGTTATGACCAAGAACTATTTCATTTTTGTCTGAGGGAAAGGTTAAAACAGGGACCTTGCATATATGCGCGTGTGTGTCTATGTGTGTTTGTGCGAGTGTTCGCGCGCTAGAACACACGCGAGTGTCCACGCGTTTGTTGATGTTAATTGTGAAGCTACGTCACGTACGATAATGAAGCATTTTGTTTTTCTTGAAAAAAAAATCCGTTTTCCCTTCACAAGAAAAAATCTCTAAATTGTTCGTGTGCTCATTTATTTTTATTTATTCAATCGTTTTAGCTATTTGTCGCGTTGTATATCATACCGTCTTAAAATTATAAATCTTCCATTTTTTTAGATTAAAACAGGGGAAAGAATCCGAAATGCAATCCAAATGAAGCCAATATTCATTAATATATTTTAAATTTATAGCAAATATTATTATTATTATTATTATTATTATTATTTACCTTTTTTTTCATAAAAAATTCACCCTACTTCTATTATTGGACATGTTACTTTTTTAATTTGTGTCGAATACTTTTCAGTTTGTGACAGTTATTTTTAATGGTTCGGCATAACTACTACTATTAGTAATAATAATAATAATAATAATAAGTACAGTTCACACCTTACGAAGGGCTTTATCTATGTAAAAATATGTGTGATTTTTTTTTTCAAAACAGCTCAGTAAAAAATGTCATGATGCCATTTCTAACCTTAGGTTTCTGGTCGGGACCCGGAAAGAAATGTGTATACACCAGAAATCAAAGGAAATAATAATAATAATAATAATAATAATAATAATAATAATAATAATAATTCACATCAATATAATCTGGTGATCTAGATAGATAGAAAGAGATTTACGTGTGTTAATAATTATAACTAATGATCAAAATATTAGAGTAATCATAGAATCAATGATCAAATAGTTGCAATGGATTGATTATTTCATAATTAAATAATTTTAAACATTCTTCAATACTGAAAAAAAGAATCAAGTTAGTTTTATAACGAAAAATATAACTGTTATTTTAATTTTGATTGAGACCGATTATCTTTTAAATTGATGTCTTTAGACTACTGATAAGCTCACCAAATTTAATTGTCACAAGGATTTTTAACAAAAGAATAGTTCCGTTACTGCTGAGCAAAAGTCGTTGAAAAGAAATTGCGGACAAAAGCAAAACAGCATTTTCAAAGTAACAGAAAAAATTTTCGTTAACTTTTCCAAACAACTACATCGTGTGTTTTATAAGTAGTTCTGCTCCCAAGAACTTTAGTATAAGGTAAAAATATGTAGCGATATATACACAGATCTAATAATAATGGCTACAGTAAGGATGTTTAAAAAAAAATTAAATTCAAAGATTTTTTTAAAATTTTACTGTCAGTGAAATTGTGTAGTTGAATTTACTGTCACAAATAGGATTTAATTGTCGAACATCGCAAAAATTGCTGTTATCACATGTCTGCACAACTTTGTAGTTATTATTATTATTATTATTATTATTATTATTATTATTATTATAGCGTCTGTGGTATTATCTTGCCAGAGAGTAATTTTAAGTGCCTAATTACCAAGTCCTTTTTCGGGGTCTACGAGTAAAAAGGGCAGTGTAGGAGAATTATCTATGTAATTGAGATGTTTCGTTTTAGATGGAGGGAGTTTGTGTGCAAATAAAGTAATTTTTGTAGAATTATCCAGGAATTTTTACTTACATGATTTTCCATATTCTGTATCATACCCGATTAAAAGTTATCATTTTATTATTATTATTATTATTATTATTATTATTATTATTTCTGTCACACTACCTAGTTTAAGGCAGGTCGTGTGTTGTTATCGAATTTTTTTTTTTTTTTTTTTTTATCTCCGATGAAGTTGCCCCAGCGTTACATAGACAAAGTTCTCCTTAGTGTGTGTGCTGTACTTAATAAGACAATTTTCTGTTATCTTTGATGGGGATATATCCAGGAATTTTCAATTTCCACATTTTTCTATTTCTATTTCCAGGTCTTTGTATTTTGATAGTTTTTTCAAATTCCTTGGTTGCTATGTTATTTTAATACGGCAAGTTTTTTTCATTTTTTAATGTCCGGCCTATTTGAATTTTCTGTCTGATGGTATAATCCCATAGAATTGTAACCGGCGCTGGCCGATGTTCATACCAGTGTTTGCAAAAGTGTTTGCACATTGTCCAGTTATTAGATTAGATGGTCTGTTGTTTTGGTATTTGTCACAGAACCTGCATTTTATTATTATTATTATTATTTCCTATTAAGATTGGTCTTGCGCTGCAAGAATAAAGCGTTTAAAAATGATGAAGTGTTTGTCTTGCTAGGAGGTTTCTTTTTTCATATCTTTTGCGCATAGTTGGTTCTTAGCTTCTGTTTTGATTTTACATTGAAATGTTGTTTGTATTTACTGCCTTCTTTTATTATTGAATATTTTTTCTTTCTGTTTTCAACACTAATTTTTATCATCCAGTCATTTGTTGTTTCCATTGGTAAGCCAATTTGTTGTATCCTTCAAACTTAAAAATATCTTATACTTAGAAAGAAGCTTGTTTTAGAATCCATTTGTCTGATGTCATTTAGAGTCCAGTTCAAGATGTTGAAACTATATTGGACCACTGGGATGGCAAGGTTTAAGATGTTCTGAGAATTCAATTCAGTTTTAATACCAGTCGTTTCTATAGTACTTTTACGCACTATTTCTTTCATTTTCTTATGGTGAATTCTTCACCTCATTTACACCCAGGTACTTATAAGCTTCCTTGTTCTAAATCTTTTATTGTTACAGCAGGGTCTAAACTAATAGAGGAAGTTTGTTGTAAAGGATCCTCGTAAAACTGTAGCTTTAGCACATTTATCCAAATTGAATTTCATTCCAATGTCTATTATTATTATTATTATTATTATTATTATTATTATTATTATTATTATTATTACGTTTAAAAATGATGAAGTTACAGGTGTGGATTTAGGTGTTAGGCGCAGAAGGTTCGAATGAAGATGCTTCCAAATAACAAGAAGTGACTTCCACATCACATTGGTTGCTTTATCCTTCAAACTTAAAAAAATTCTCGACACTTGGTTGTGATGCTTTCCCACTACTTCTCGTGAATAAAGATGCACAATGCACCAACCCTGAAGGGATATGCCCAATTAGTTAAGGACAGGGAAACAGGGCCTATGAGAAGGGGGTCCAGTCGGTAAATTGTTCTGGGGCCCAAGAACTAAGAAGTCCTACGGTAACCATGCAACGTTCAATCAAAAATAAACACTTTCTACTACCCCACAGCCCGATATACACTTACATTCACATACTCAAACATCATTATACTTATCATACCACACTTACTTCTTTTTATTAGTATTTATTATTAATTATAGTAGACTTAGTTGTATAAACATAGGCTAACAGTAACACCAAGAGTATCTACCTACAGCCTGGGGATAGATGCATAAATTAGCGTAATCTCAAACTTATCAAAATTATTTGAGGTCTACTATGCCTCAAGCCAGACTTGTTGATCTAGCACGACTGAGTATTGAATCTGGCATTGCCAGAAAAATTGATTTTAATAGTGTTATTAGAAATTTTGCAAACTAAAAAGCCAGAAAAGCACATTTTAATTAGTACTCTAGTTAAATGTTAAGTTTGTCTTTTTTTTTGTTTCTTTGAAAGAAATTATTATGAACGTTAAAAAAGCATTTTTCTATGACGAAACCTAAATGGCGATTGCTGAATGCAACTATAAATACTGATTTATGTTTCTGCATTAATTGAATATATTTGTTGCATTATGTTATATCTGATCATGGAAATAAAGCATTTATGTGAGTTTACATGTAAATTTAATGAATATCAAATCCTTAATTTTGAGAAAAATCTTTGCCTACCTCAGGGCCTAATGGGGTCTTGTACCGCCTTACAAAATTTCCCTTGGGGTCCTGCAGGCAAATCTGTCATACTAAATGGGACATTTACTGTAGCCCATCTTAACTGATCAAGACTAAACACGTACATGTTAACACCTTCAATAAGTTAAGATCAGAAGACATGAGAGTCATACATGGTGTAGCATCAGGGCATTTATTATTATTATTATTATTATTATTATTATTATTATTATTATTATTATTCCTTTGATTTCTGGTGTATACTCATTTCTTTTTGGGTCCCAACCAGAAGCCTAAGGCCAGAAATGGCATCAGAACATTTTCCACTAAGCATTTTTAAAGAAAAAAAAACACCTAAGATCACACATATTTTGCACAGAAAAAGCCCTTTGTAATACGTGTGAGTACAATTTTTTTGTATATCTTTAAGGCTTTTTTCCAATCAATCTGTGGGTTCCAACTACAACTGGAATTTTTTATGCCCTCAGTAATAATAATAATAATAATAATAATAATAATTATTATTATTATTATTATTATTATTATTATAGAAGCAGTTCCTGTAATAACCATTTGGGACGGAGATATTTTTCTATAATGTCATATCTTTTAAACCACTCTTAGACAATCATTACCTTCATCAACCCCAACGAATTGTCTTGAATCCTTATACAATTCACTTCCAGTGTAAGGAGACCCAAAACAGACACAATTTTCTCCCAAAATTATGAATAGCAATATTGATATTTATAATTATATTAATACTGGCTCTGGTGGGGTTCTAGCGGAATTCAAATAAATGTTACTGGCCTATTACAACAATATCCAGCTGTTTTTTTAAGCTTCATTAATTTCAAAGATGCTTTTAAAAAAACTTCTTAATAGAAGTCACTCTCTACTTGTGATTTTAGTCTCTTACAATTTCAAGATTCTTTCCAAAATATATGTATTTTACATTAAAGCAAAATTGGGAGTGCTAAGCTCTCTCTCTCTACAGTTGACCGATGTTTATTTATGGATTGTGGTAGCACCTGCGCTTTTGAGCCTCCTGTCCCTAATTCGGCCATTTGAACTGGAGCTGACCAC